AGTGTATGATTAATTCTTATCCTTGACACCGCATCGTCCAATCAGAAGTTGACATGGAAAACTTGCATCCTCGAAGATATGAAGTCAAAGACAGTGTGACCGTCGGTTTGGTCGCAGTCTCCCTTCGGTGCCTACAAGTGATTTGCCCCTATTTTGGTAACTGGGTCGTGTCGTCAAGACGACTTGGTTGAACGCACCTTGTGCGAAGTCCTCTGCTGCAGTAGTTGTCACAATTCCCAGCATCAGAGAATGCACCAAGTTCACCGTCTGATGCTGGGAATTGTGACAACTACTGCAGCAGAGGACTTCGCACAAGGTGCGTTCAACCAAGTCGTCTTGACGACACGACCCAGTTACCAAAATAGGGGCAAATCACTTGTAGGCACCGAAGGGAGACTGCGACCAAACCGACGGTCACACCATCTCGGCATTCACATCTTCAAGTCCACTTCAGCCGGACGACATGGCACTTGCGAAATGGGCGATTCGTGGCGAGAGAAGAGAAACAATTTGGTGTAAATGGGCTAAAAGTGATAAAAAGTGACCAATGGATGGACGTCGGTGTGTGTGTGTGTGTGTGTATGAGCGGGAGGGTGTGAAACGTCTGACCGGAAGGGAGGTGTGCAGTCGGGCTGTGGCCGCGATGAGCCATGGGTTGGTGAGCGCCTCCATTTCGCAGAGCCGGCCGGGCAGATGAATGGGCCGGATCGGCCGGGCCGGCCAGCCGATTGCCCCGGCAACCAAGTCGACGGGAGCCCGTGGACAGAGCGACGAGTCGGTGAGGCCGAGAGCTGCGCTGAGGGGCCAGCGTTGGCCGGGCCTCTGGCAGAGGCCGATGACTTGAAGGGCCGAGCGGAAATCAGTCAACCGTGACGAGTCGCCACTCGCCGCGCCAGTCCAACCGACAGTCGCCAACCAACCGAGATGGGCACGCTGTCGACATGCCGCGCCGCAATTCTGCAAACCCACAAGAAGACAATGCGTCTGTCGCCCGGCCACCATCTCTCCGGTCGGACCGCCGGCGCAAGCGAGCAGAGCGTCACAGGCCGAGTGAGCTAAACCCTGTAGAGTTGTGACAAACACACACACACACACACATGTGCGCATGGCCAAAGACAGACAGATAGATAGACAATAGATAAAAATAGACAAACAGGGATAGACAAGCTGACAAATAGGTAGGAATGAAGAGACTATTAGTGAGATAGATGCTGAGAAATACAGACGGACTGACAGATAGACAGAGATAAAAATAGACAGACAGGTAGACCGACATAAACAGTCAGACAGACAGAGATCGACAGAGATGTACAAAAAGAGACAGGCAGGGACAGAGTTAGACTGAAAAAAGTACAGACAGACAGACATATATACATACATACATACATACATAC